CAGATATAGAATTCCATATATAGTAAGGGTAACTAGTCTCTAAGAAATAGATGGGCAAGGAACTTTCTCATGTTCAAGCACCTGAGTTTTCATCCTTGGAATTTGTATCTGGAGTCTGACTGCCCAGTGCCTATCTGGCTTGCTTATTATTTTGCAGCAGTCCTCTTGGTGGTAAGAGAATCAGACTGCTGAGTTATTGTGTGATAGGAACTATCAAACTTTAATGGTAAAATTGCACATTCATGAAAATGCTTTAGATACAGTCAATAATCCTTTACTTGGAGCAGCACTGTTCAAAGGATGTTTAAGGACTGGTTGCCTACACAAGGCTAAGCATTGAGTCAGTCCCTAGGGATGTAAACAAAAATGAGCACACCCTCAGGGAATCACAGTTGGGGGAGGGAGGGAGGGAGGAAAGGAGGGAGAGAGAGAGAGAGAGAGAGAAAGAGAGAGAGAGAGAGAGAGAGAGAGAGAGAGAGAGAGAGAGAGGAAGAAGAGAGATAAAGACAGACAGATATAGAGAGAGACAGAGACAAACAGAGAGAAACAGAGACAGAGATGCAGTGACACACACAGAAAGAGTGAGAGAGAGAAAGAGAGAGAGAGAGAGCTATAAGAAAAGTTTCATTATAGAACCCAGATATGTTCTGAAATATCTGTCATATCTGAAAGTCTTAATGAGGACAATGTATGATCTGTCCTTCTTACTGCTGGTAGTGAGGATTAGGAAGCAGGAAGACATGCAAGGCTCCTTAATGCAACAATTCTTGAATGGAATCCTGAGAGATAGACATTACCAACAATGAAGCTGGTAAAATGGGGTCAGTAAGAAGTGATGCACTATGGCTTGAACAAAGATACTGTGGAGTCATAGCATAGAATGAGAATGGGAACTTTTAAGTTTAGTACTGATGAAATTTAAAAATAAAAGGGAACCAGTGTTTGTAAAGGTGGACAGGCTTTCAATAGTAGTTTGAAAGATGGATTTTTGGTAAGGGTGAGAAAGAGGCAGGGTGACAGTGTTGTTAGAAGATATGAGTTTTCAGTAGTTTAAGTTGTCTGCTCAGGTGGCTATGTGGAGGTAACTAGAGGGAGCAGGGCTGGGAGCTGGGACTGCAGTGGTGTTGAAAGGATTGGGGAGGAGGGACTTGCAAGAGTCCGAAAGAGAAGTCATGAGGACCTGATGTGAGAGCATGCAGTGGGGTGGAGTGGGGTCTAGGCACTATTGATGTTGAAGGGGTGAAATTATTGCTTGAGGGCTGTTTAAATGTGGAGATGAAAGATGCAGAGGAATCAGAAATGGTTTTCAGGAAAACAGACTAATTCAAAGTCTTCTTCCAAGTTCAGGATGGCAGACTTTGGCCTGTAGTTGCTACTAGTGATTTGCACTGGCAATACCACAATCTAGGTTGGTTTCAGTTCTCTGACATGTCACTCTTTTGCATGCTAAAAACGTCTGAATATAGGCCATAGTTAGGCACCACTTTCTATGACTTTACTACTTTAATTCTGAAAATTTATAGAAATTTGGCTTCTTTTCTAGTGGCTCTGTTCCAGACACCAAAATTCCCCTATTTCTGGGACATCCCTTGGGTAGACTATTGAACCTGTTACTCATTAGGAACAGCTGAAAACCATCAGCAAAATTCCTAAACTATGCCAACAATAACGCCAGTCAAATTTCAAGGTAATTCCAGGTTTCAGACAGTTACAAATCCTTATTTATAGTATATGCATATTTATCATATAAAACATTGTAATTTCCTTACTTTCCTTAGTTATATAGTACTTTTTTGAAGAGAGTGCTATACATTAAACCTCCAATCCTGAATGTTAGTGGAAACGTGTTCATAGACTTGTTGCTAATCATCGCAAAGTAAAAGTACAAAACCAGGCTGGATGGTGGAGCAGTAGTAGGAGAGGAGCCTGTGTTGATGGAGCCTATATTGAAAACAAGAATCCTCTCTAGTACCTGAAACACAGTTTTAGCAGAATTCTATGTAACAGTTAACAACTGAATGATATCTATTAAGCTTTAAAATAAAGAAAAATCTAGTCCCCTAGTTTATAATCCTAAAGAAGCATTACAAGTAAATGTTGATACTTTAGTTTTTACTAATATATTTCATGTGTGCATAGGTAAAGCCACAAAAGAGTAGGCACTGCTTTCTTTGAAAAAGATTTAGTCACTGTATCTGGCCTTCATTGCTAAATATATTTTCTTGTCATCCTACTCCATTGAATTGGATGTTTGGTGGTCCAGGAAATTTTAAATGAGTTCTTGGAATGTGTGAAACAGTCTCACCTAATCAGGAGGCTTCGGGCAAGTCTTGAGGCGTGAGAGAAACAGGCACGTCTAAGGAAGATGACAGGATTTTAGGACAGTTGTACAAACACAGAAATTTTATTTGAAAAATGTGATTTGAGGGCACAAAAAGTTTCCACATCCTTGAAGAATAAAACCCTAAGCTGATTCTTCATGGTCCTTGGGAGACTTTACATGGACTAATTGTTCAAAGTTGGACTTATGAAGAACATTGGCTTCTAAAAGTATTCTTCACAAGCTGCCATACTTTGTAGCACATCACTGAGGGTTGTTTAGCAACATATTGAAGATATTATTATGAAAAGATAAGTGTGTATTTTCGTAATCCAAGAGGATCTTTCTGATATGCATGTTTAAGAAATAAATAATCATTGTTATTTTGTGAAATTCATAACTCCTTAGGGTGAGAAAGCAGAAGAAAAAAAGGAGGTAACCTTTCAGCTAATTTGTGATTTAATAGCAGCTGGTCAAGTAAGTTAAAAAACTTTGAGTTGTGAATGCCTTTTCTTCCTGTTGGGAAGGTAGCTCACCCGACAGTCTTTCTACCATGGTAAATGGCTTTGAGACTTTGATCTTCTCAAGCCAGTTTGCCAGATGTAGGAGACAGGGCCTGTGAACCTTTGTGTGACCATTCCACCTGGCTCATGGGAAACCATAATTTAATTCTTATTTGACTTTTATTTCTAGGCATTACAGCAGAAGTTCTGGTGGTGACCTCTTTCGATGAACTGCGGAGAAGGGCCTCAGAAGCAACAGGAAAGATCGTTGTTTATGACCAACCATACGTCAGCTACATGATGACAGCACAGTACCGAGTGCGGGGGGCAGTGGAGGCTGCCAAGGTGGGGGCTGTGGCATCCCTTATCCGATCAGTGGCTTCCTTCTCCATATACAGGTTGGTTAGCATGTTTGTTTGAAATCTCTTCCAAAACCAGGGTTTTTCATAAAAGAGTAGTTCTTACTAAATGAAAATAAGCCATTCAAGTGAAAATACAGATTTCTATGGAATTTCCTCTATCCCATATTTGGCCATTTGTTTGTAATACCTTCTGTGGCCCTCTGAGGACCACAGGCATCATTTATGCATTCCTTTAAAAGTTTTCCACATCCACAATGATCCCATAACATTCTTTCTAGAACTAATGTATTGTGTATTTTCATTGGAGGGAGAGCTGAGTTCACGTCTGTGTTTCATCAAAGATTCCTATGACTTCAGAGGAAACTAGGCTGTTTTCCATGTTGCTAGAGAAGTAAAATAAAAAACAGAGTTGTTAACATGATGGGGACCATCTATGGTGCAGTGGAAAGAGTGGAGCTAGGAGACCTTGGGTACAGACTTGGCTCTGCTCCAGAACAACTGTGCAAACGGCTTCAGAGTTGCTTAAAGTTCTCCAGGCTTTGTAATTTTCTTGTATTGATGAGTGATATTAAAAAAATAAGAAATGCAAACCATTAAAATTTAACTAAGTAAACTTAGAAAAGATACTCGTTTGTCTATAAAGGTCTACATAAATATTTGGTGGTATTGTTTGAGGACTACATAAGACATGCCTTTTTATAATCCTGTTTGAGGTAGTGCCATCATTACTTCCTTTATTTTATTGCTAATTAAATATTTTCTTTTTCTTTATTTCATTTTTTATTAGTGCATATTTGCAATACAGAACAGTGGTGTTTGTTTGGGGAATTGGTACATGTATATAACACATCTTGATCATTTTTGACCCATTCATTCCCCTATTTTTCTTTTCCTTCCTTTTATCCTCTTCTCTGTTTCTAAGACTCTACCTTCCAGTTGTCTATCATCTCTCATTAATTACTCAGTTGATTAATATTTTATGCTTCAAGCATAAGCAAAAGCATATGGTATTTAACTTTTTGAGCTTGGCTTTTTTTATCTTAGTATGATGGTCTCAAGTTCTGTCCATTTTCCTCCTTCTATATAGACATATATTCATATTTTCTTTATTAAGTCATCTGTTGATAGCCATCTAGGGTGTGTGCACAGCTTCACTATTGTGAATTGTGCCACTATAAATGTGGACATACACGTAACACTATCATATGACTTTTTAATGCTTTCATAAAAATATCAAGGAGAAGTATAGCTGGGTCAAATCATATTCCTTCTTTTGTCAATTTTTTTG